TGGCTTGCTTAGACCCACGTACGGCCAGAACGGGATTGCATCGCTTTGAAGCGTATGTAGTCCTTGCCCGGCCAAGCTGCTGAGGGAGGCAGAGCAATCAGCACAGTGGCTGGAGCCCGGCTAATCGTTCACTTAGATCAAGTCCTTCTCAAGGCTTTCTTAATTATCTCCCTCTCTGATTGAGATTGTAGAGGAAACAAATCACTGTTGTTTTGAAATGTGAAGGTTGTTGTCTCAGTACTTCACAGCCAGGCTGTGATTTCCAGAAGCTGTGCTGCAGTTCTGCCTATTAATGAGGGAGTGCAGGGTGGTGGGGCATTTGAGGTGGGAACGGGCTTGGGCTCTAAAGACAGCCAGAGCCTCACCATGTGCTATGACACCTTCTCAGCAGATTTCCTATTTTGTGTTTGTCTCTGCTCTCACTGTGAATGTTTGCCTTGTAAAGAGTGGGGCTGGCAGATTAAATGGTCTGTTTGCCACCAGCAGTGCTGCACCCAGATTATCGCATCCAGTTTTGGGGCCCTCCCCAATTCAAGAAGGATGTTGAGATGCTGGAGATGATACAGTGATGGGCTACCAAGATGTTCAGTGACCTAACGCATATAACTGAAAAGGACACTTTGAGGGATCTGGCCTTACTCAGATTGCTGGTTAGCCCTGTTGTCACCAGACTACTAGCAGTCTACAATTACTTGAAGGGGACTTAAAAAGAAAGTGAATCCTAACTCTTCCTCCAGTAGTGATAGATAATGGACACACGTTGAAGGCCAGGAATCTCACAGTGGCCACTAGGAAAAAAACATCTCTGCTGGGAGGGTAGTATGGCTTTGGAACAGATTGCCCAGAGAGGCTCTGAGCCTTCCATCCCAAGAGGTATTGAAGCCTGGGCTAGCCAAACCCATGGCCAACCTAGTCTTGGTGACCTTCAGTAGTAGGGTGGCCCAGCTGACCTCCAGGGTCCCTTTCCAACAACATGGTCATGACGGTGAGCGGTTATTTTCTAAATGTATGTTTTTCCTAAGTGTAATTTATGGTGCTGTTTTCCTCAACCAAGTTTGTCTTCAAAGCCCAGCTTTCTGGCCTCAGTGAAAACCATGGATGAGACCACGCCGGTTTGGGGACTGCTGGAAATGTTTAACTCAAAGCTATCATTAGCGAATTCACATGAAGGTAGGCAAGCACATGGCTCATCAGACAGCTGCAGTTTATGTCATCTGACTGACTCTAAAACACCCTTGCTTGAGGTAGGACAATGTTCCTGGGCATGCAACAGGTATTAAATTGACAGCCCTCATACTTGCTGGCTGGGAACTTGGCAAGGAAGGGAGCAGGAGGGATGTTGTCAGATGAATTTAGCTTTTCTGCTCCATAGCAGTAGATAATTTAGTCTTCTGCTTGTCCTGCTACAACAACCCCTGTGAGAAAGCAAAGCTATGCAGACAAAAATCCCACCCTCAGCCCTGAAAGCATGAGCCAGAAATAAAGCACACAGAGAGGAACTTTCTTTCTTCAATTTAATTGAAGTTACTTAGAAAAATAATCAGGCTTGAATGGCTTTTTTAAGGAAAGATTCATGAGCAGTTCACACTTGTGTTGGCAATGTATAATTTAGCTTTTTTCTTTATTAACAGTATATTTAGGTATGAGGAGATTTCTACAACAAGCCTTCTACTGCATACAAATAGGTTAAAAAAAAAAAAATCCAACCCCACATCGATGTTAAATTATTCGTACACATTGTATTGTGCATGCATGTAAGAAAATAACACTCTCTGTAACAAGAGTAATAGTAAGGACAGTCCCTTTTTGTACCTGAAAAGTGCAGCAGACTACAGTGAAACCCTAAAACATCTGGGGTCAACTTACTTCTAAAAGCGCTTCTGCTTGCGGATTATTTATTTCACTTGTCTTAATGCAGCGCATGGTTCAGGCAGTTTGCACGTTTCTGTGATAGTGGGCATGGTTTATGAAGAGGCTGAAGCATGGACCAAGTCAGGTTTGGGGGGACCTCCCACCACCCAGGAGTCACCACCATGTTCAGATGGGCCAAATCCAGCCTGGGGTCCAGGTTAGGTGCTTGGGGCCATCAGAGGGGAACGAGCCCCCAGCCGTGGGCGTCGTAGCAGGTGAGGAGCCACAGGGGCTGCTGGGCTCAGCGCTGGCCCTGCCAAATGATGGGGGGGCACTGGCTCCTCAGAGATGGGAATCACTGCTCCTGGAGCCCAGTGACTTTGAGGGAGCTGGGGGTAGAGGCCCTCTCTGTGTTCACCACTCCTCAACTAATACACATCCTCCTAAAACAGCAGCTCCCCGGGTGGCCCTCGCGGCCCCACGGGCACATCTGTATTTTGAATTTTGCTGTGGCTGCAGTTTTGCCTGTTCGTCTCCCGGGACCAGCTGTGGCCACAGCAGAAATGAAGCTGGGAGGGAGGCAGGGCTCGGGAGCAGAGCAGCCCTTCTGTTCCTCTGGCTGGGAAACCCAGTGAAGAGATGGGGTAAAACCAGCCCAGTTCCCCGGCTGCCCCTGCACTGCAGGTGGGGAGGAACGACCCTGAACATCTTCCTGTGTGGGGGCACTGGAAAGAGATATTTTTTGGCTCTGTCAAAACAACACACCCAGTAGACCAAAAAAAAGGGGCTATTCCTTAACATTTGTGGTGCTTCTTTGACCTGGTGAGGGCTTCGTGCTCAACATGCAGGACATGATCATACCCAGCATGCCAGCTGTTCATTTGAAACGCAGATCTGCAGCCCATTCACAGCACCCCAAAACAGAAATAACATGCTAAATGGACAGTGTGTAGTAGTTTGGGATCAAGGTTTTTTAAAAAGCAAGTGACTTTTAAGTACCCGCTTAAGATCGCATAAAAGCCATCTCAGTGCTGAGCATCCACCCGTAGGGCAGCCCTCTACGGGAAGGCAGAATTTGGGTAATCAAACCCAAAGCTGCTGCTAAAAATCCCAGCTTGAGCAGCACTCACCCCTCAAGTCCCCTGAGCGTGTTTTTCTCCTAAAGCTTTTCTATCACAGCTGTCAAATAGGGTTTTTTGTGTCTCCAAAGCAGTGAAACTAAAGACAGTATTTCAGAACAGATAAGAACGTGGTGATGACAGAGAAAAGTACGAAAAGAAAGGGGGAAGCACATCCCATTTTTAAAAAATTTACTTTCTGAAGCAACTTTTTTCTTAAATGAAAAAATTCACATCACAATCTGTTGGAGGGATTAACAGCTAACTAAAGAGAAAACTGGACCAAAATATGAGCACTGTTGGACACAAGACCAAACAAGCACACAAATAGCTTGCGGGAAATACTGGAGGGGGAGAGGGGAAATCTACTCTCAGACAGATTTTTTTTTTTTTTTAAACAAACATATCACCATTGAACTACAAACAAAAGAAAGCCAGGGCACACTGTGATAGGCACTTGCAACAGCTCTGCGTACTCTAAATGAGACAAAACTGCCTTCAAGTAAAAGACCAGCCAGCAATCAGCAACCGCTCAGGAATTCAGAGCTCTCAGGCGCAGCCAGCCAGCTCTTCACTAGCCACTGGGTCAGCGCTTGGGGTTATATATAGGGCCTGGGTTATGAAAACTGTGGCTGTTCCAGAATGGATGAGAGATTTATTTGTAGGGTATGATAAAAAAAATAATGACCTGAATCCTAGCTAAGAACAAATCCAATTTTGAAAGGACTTCAGCTGCTGTTTGTTATGTTAATTTGTTCTTCACTGAGATTTATTCAGTGACTTATTTTTATAAAATAAGACAGAACTCATTTTTCTTCTTTAACTACATATGAGTCCTGGAGACTAATGTAATTCAGTGGGTATTATCAGCTACTGTACAATATGACATTTTCAGAATCTGGCTCTGATACTGTTAAAACAGCTCTGCCTTCAGCTGAGTTTATTTAAATCTTCACTAATTTTTGGAAGGGTTGGGTTTGCTCCTAAGGTTGACACGCAGGCAAGTCAAAACCCCATTTTAACCATCGTTCAACCTTAAAAAAGATTTTAGGTTCCCATAAGTGCCTCCACTTAAGCCTCTGCCTCCTTCTGCCCATCAGCCGGTTGCCAGCGCTGCCACCCCAGGACAGGCTTGGCTTGAAGGTTCTACAGACCATTCCCCGGGCAGGCGCCTGCCACCTGCTTGGCCATACACCTCACCTGCATCAAATTAAAGCAACATTTGGAGAAGCCTGTACTTCTGCCCGCCGAGCTTGCGAATAGATCCACACTGAAATCTCATTTTTCATTATTTATTTGCCGTGAATAGATTACTACTTGCTTGCCCAAAGCAATCACTCGGTGTGTTATGCCTGGTAAAATCTGCCATCCCAACAAGCCGTTACACACAAAACAACTGCTACCGAGATGTTCGCCTTAAATAAAAAAATCATGGTCTCACACTAAACCTGACAGATAAAATACTAACCCACTGGAAATTAGACACATCTCTGTCAATGGTATTTAGGCATCAAATAAAAGAAGACAACTTCCCCTTCCCCCTAGGAAAAAGCCATGAAACCAGCATGTAGGAAGATGAGAGGCCTTTTTTATTGCCTTGCGTGCTTAGAGATCAACACCAAAGATCTGACTTTTCAAATTACATGCCCACATCCTTTATAGCAACGTATTGTGACTGGTGGTTTTTGAGCCAATTCTGGTTGCCCATTTGAAGATCAACTAGGGAAGCATGACTTGCAGAGGGTGGAGCTCCCCCCAACCCCATCCTGGATATGAATTAAGTCAATGCCAGTTGCTTTGGGCATTCAAAAATGTCTACAGTCACTTTCAGAATGCTGATTTTTTCTGATGGACCATCTGCAAGTCTGCATTCATTTGGGCTGGCAGGCTTTAAATCAAGAGACAATGGGACTGGTCATATTCTTGGTGAAATCATTAAGTCCAGACTTATAAAAAGTTCATGGTTTCTCTTCCCAAGGAATACATTCACATTTTTTCAGTCATGGGTTTTAGATATCATGAATCTATCAAAATCTGACTTATTTTTCCCTTTCAGGGCTAGAAAGATAGATCTTTTTTTTTTAGTACGCTTAAGTGCAATATCACTTTCTGAAGAATTTCTTCAGAAAGAGTGGACCACTCTTCTCAAAGCGTGTGGTGTCAAGAACCATTCCCATATTTACCTGCATCAATGGCTAATGGAAGAATATTATTACCCAGAGACAAGCTCAACTAAGGAAAGCACAAAACCAGACTCCTTTTGTCCAAATGTTACCTTATCTCTGCTGCTGAAGTGACACCTACCAAGAGACCATGTTTTAAATAAGTATAAATAACATTAATTAGGATTGGAGGAATGCAAAAGCAATGAAATTCACCAGAACACAATTAACATTTTTTTTTAAACAGTGTAGCAGTATTATTCATTTCTACAGCTAGATCGTCACAATCCTGTTACCCTGCAAAGAGAGCTGTCCTTTCTTACAGTTGATTTAAATAATTTTGACTGTGCTGCTCGCAGCATCATTCAAAAAAAGAAAATATTAATTTACAAAATAACCCATTCTCCATATTTATTATGACAAATAAAAATCTTAAATAAATCAGGCTTTCTCTCCCCTCTCTCCCCCCGACCCATCCCTCATTCCAATTTCAGGTAGCTTGGCACTGAGTAATTGAACATTAAAAAATCAAGTTTGTAGACTTCATACAGCTGCGTTTGGTGCTCAGAGCTGATGTTCTGGAAGAACTCTGTGGTCATTTCGTCAGTAGTTCTCGTAGACTTTGCATAGGTGGGGAACTTCAGGTAGTTGCCTACTCCCGCCAGCTGGAGAATGTAATTCGAATCCTCTTCAAGCGTTTCATATTTTCCTATGAGGTCATAGTGGATGTGGCAAGGGTGGCACAGGGAGTACACAGTCTGCCAGTGCTCGTTGAAGGGCTCTTCTCTTTGGGTATGCGGGTCGATGAGATAGGCCACAAACTCTTCAAATTTCACATCATCACCTTTACGCAGAGCTTCCTGGGTTGCATTTTTCCTCTGGCGCCTCACGATTTTGGTGCCGTATCGCTTGTGGAAGGAAGTGTTGTACTTCTGGGTGAACTTGTTCCTGTAGGCTGACACCAGTCTCTCGAAAGGCTCGCGAACAAAGAGGAACTTCATGTAGTTTTTCAAGCGGTGGTTGATCTCTGGGATGCTGTACTGGTTGAGGGTCTTCAGGTTTGAAGACACGTGAGCTTCGTTGGCTGGGATTTCCATAGGATCGCTGTACTTGCCTCTTCCCGTCAAAACCATCATGACTCTCTTCCAGTTTGTGCAGGCCACTTTGGGAACATAGCAATAGATCATTTCATGATCTTCATCCACGACCAGGTGTTTGAGATCGTTGGGTGTCAGCACGCGGCGCTTCCTGCTAGATACACTGTTTGCTCGGCACGTGTCTGTCACTTGGTCTCGTCTAATCTGATGAAGAATTGCTGTGTTGGACAACTGCAAAGAAAGCACAGGCACCAGTAAGTCAAGTGGCTGGGAAACTCTTACTGCCTTTTTGCTTATTATACAAATTCATAGAAAAGTAGATTACTGCCTGTACAGACCAGTTCATTATGTTGCTGAGTATTTTTTTTCCTTTTTTTGTTTTTTCCTTTTTGTTCTTGTGCTAGAAGATAAACTCTCTCTGTCTCCAAACTTCTTGATACTGCTGCTTAAATGCTGTTCACAAAGAAAATGTCCATGGCTTTGCTTTGAAGCCAATGCAAAGGAGCACAAGCGCTCACACAGCCTGGTGGCAAGTGTATTTACAGCACCCTCATCCTGAGATGGGGTCACTGCTTTTCTTAGTCCTGGAAAACAGATCTTCCCTCCACTCTGCAGTCCATCCCATGGCCACAGTAGTGCTGGACCCTGCTTGACCTTTTGCTGCTGAGATGGAGTAAGAAGACACCAGAGCTGGAAAATCTGTCAAAATTAAAACAGTATGTGCTCTTGTCACTGATGTCTTTTATGCTAGAGAATTAATAATGGTGGCTTGTTTCTTGACTATGACCTTGGCAGAAGAAATGAAGCCCATGGAGATTCCTGCTACTCTCCAAGGGGAACATTCACTCAGATGTGATTTCTTGAGGAGTGGGGAGAATATTAGCTATAAATTGCCTCTCTGCTAAAGCCATATTGACAGAGAAGGAAAGAATGTGTGGCCTTCTAACGCACACAGCACTATATTCACCCATAGTCTTTTATTATTTTGTTAATAGCACCCTAACTTTCTACTATTACTGCTGCTGGAGAGGCTTTGGAGAGGCTGTAATCTGTCCTGGGGAGGACCACAGGGCAGCTGCATAGAGATGGCCACAGTCTCACCACCAGCCACCTCCTGCCCAGATTGTGTCCAGCGACAACAGCGAGAGCTTCTGCTAAGGAGGGTTAATGAGCTCCTGAGGGAAACAGGGAATATTAGCTCCAGCAAAGGACCATGCCAACGCAGGGCTCCTGTGTTTGGTTACTCAGACCCGTATGAAGTGTCTCTGCATGGCACAGCTTTTTGCTGTGCAGCCCTACCCTCACTGCTACAAATGACTTTTTACATATTCTGAATAAATAGCAACAAAGCAACAGGGGGAAGGTTTTGGTAATGTTATTTACATTTACTTAACCCCACTTACCTGTGGATTTCAAAGAGCCTTATGCACAATAATTAGTTTAGCCTCAAAGCCAAGTATTAAGGCAGGTATTGACCTTCCTATCTGATAGGCAAGGAGGTCTGGGATTCCTTCTCGAACACTGAGTCCTTCGAAAGTGTTTATCCAATACCTTCTAGTCAGGTTAACATGAATCACATGACACTGCAATGAAGCAGTTGAGGCAATGTAGACTGTGTACATCTGCTATGGCGGTGTATAGCCTTTGGTTATAGGGGTCTTCCCCCTTGATGGTGTAATACCCTTGGCAAATGGTTTTGCATCAGCTTGGGGGTTCATACTGAACCTCCAGTTCCTGCAGTCATGGGTCAAATCTCTGCTTTCAATATCAGTAGTTAGCCCTGATTTATATTAAAAAACCCTCAAAGAAGAGGATTCAAATGCACTTTAGAGGCAAAACCCAAACCAAACCCCAAGATGGGACCAAGCCAGTTGTAGGATTTCTGAGCTTTGGAGGGAAAGGAGATAGAAATATTATTGTTATGGACAAGCCCTAAGAGCCCAGGTTTTACCCAACCAAGAAGCAGCAAAAGCTTTTGCAACACATGAACAGCAGAGACTCTCCCTGCCTCTGAGCTGCAGTGGGTTGCAGAGGAATGTTCTCGTGGGATGGGCAACACCAAGGGGCTGGTGCACCTCAAACTTGGCATTTATGTGCCAAGTCTGGGACTTCTGTATTTTGTACAGTGCCACCCACCACTTCTCCTCTGAATTCCTTGATACTTGCCTCATCTCATCTCTTTAGCCCCTTTGATCAGCAAAATGTTGGCTAATGGTTAAAACATGCAATAGCCCAGTGCAGCTCCTTTAGACAGCTTGGCTCGTCTTTTGTGCGTGTGTGGTATCCCCCTGAATACCTCCCTGGTGCATTTCAAGGGCAGTTTTGTGTTATAGTCCAAGAGATGAGAAGCCAGATGTGAAATGTGCTTCATGTTTCCTAGGAAAACTGACTGGCAGGGAGTTTCCAAAATAAGATGTTAGAAAGCAGTTGTCAAGGGCCACACAGATTTTTGAAAACTACTTTTTCTGTTTAAAAAAATACATAATGTCTATTTCAATTTATGCTGTCCTCAGAGAGAAACAGAACTAATGGTCAGCTCTATAGTGGTTAGAGTTACCAGTGAATAATTTTCAAAGAACTAAACAAAACCCTACACAAACACACAGACACACAAATTTTCCTTTGCAGATGGAATGCTGAAATCTCTCCTCCTGCAGATTTTCATCAATATCATATAGCACAATACTGGTGTTTGCCTCTGGTTTTAGAGTAAAAAAAATAAGAAATGCCTGAATATACTGCTACATTACAATATGTTAATGCACTGTATTTGCTTTTCTGGTGCTGTTCTTGGGAAAAATACAGAATTAAGTGGATGAGATTCTATGGCCTGTATTAGATAGAAGGTCGGATTTGATAATCTAATGGTTGCTTCAGACCCTAATCTGCAGATGAATCTTTGTAGAGCTGTGCTTTGCTCCTGATTTCATTCCTACATCAATAGGCTAAGCACTTCTTCCCCCTACATTAACATTAATGAGATTTTCAGGCATTTGGAGTAAGGGGAAAAATGCGGCCTTAGTATTTGCAATTGCAAATGAGAAGGTACTACATCAGATTCACTTAAAAGATGATACTTGTGCATTTTGAAGTGGTACTTGTCTCCCACTCTTTTTAACATGGAAGAAATATGAAGAAATGGCATACAAGTTTGGTCAGCTATGTTTACTAAGTACACACCAACACCCCAGGGTCAGCTCTGCATGTGCTCTGGCCTGTCTGGTGGCGCACAGAACACATATTAAATATCAATGTAACACTAAAAGGGTATTGCCCTATTCTCATAAGTTACAGTACCATTTGCTATGGTTGGTGGATGAAGGACCATTTAGGAATTACAGTTTTGAAAGCTCTGCTTCCACTTTTTTTGGCCTACTGATTTCAGCTTATTGAAAAAAAGGCCAATTTAGTGACTGTCCTAGAATGATGCCAACTGTATCAAAACCCATTTTCTTCTGCAGCTGACTAACACACCCGATGCACCCTGGAGGAGCTGACCTCGCTGCTCCCCCCAGAGAAGCAGAGAGTCCTGCTGGGTCTTCTTGAGGTTTAATGGTAATGGCCCTCTCACTGAAGGAGTGGCCGACATGAAAGCCACACTCACACTGCACTAGTGAAAAGTTGGGTAAGGCACCTGAGAGCCTATAACAGAGCTCCGACAGAGGCACCAAACTCTTTGTTGTAAGCTCCAAACCCCAGAGGACGTGCTCCAGAGTCCCTGGAGCCTACAGCACCATGTGAGGTAATCATAACAGCATTTTTCAATTTGATATTTTGAAATTATGTATTAACACTGAGTTATCTGCTGCTAATATGGTTCCTCCTCATTTTAAGTTACAGGCAAGGCTTTTAAGCCACCTAATAATTTCACTCCTGAAGCTGGTGAGGGAACTGGGAAAAGAATAAGATTACACGAGACTGGAACTACATTTATTTAAACTAGAGGTCCACTTGGCCAGTGAAAACGTGCTCACAACTAATGAGGAAAATACCCTACAGAATTAAGCCTCTAGAGAGGTAAAAGCCAAGGGATAGATATCTTTAAACCCATGGATGGCAAAGGGCAAGTCAAACAATTAGGGCCATGGACTGTCTTCCCCCAAAGCTGTTATAGATGTGGCTGCAGTGGAGTTGTGAGAGCACAGCTGCTGCCTGGACACTGATTGCTGCGTCTATGGTCATTACCAAAGGTCCCTGCTGATCCCACAGTTCAAGAAGCCACAATAAGTAATGGCACAAATCCACCCCACTTTCGGAGAAGGCACTTTCAAGCATGCGTACAGGTTACCCTGAGAGCAACGTGGGGCTGGTGATAAAGCCAGTGCTCAGGTCCGTGCTCTGACAATTCAACTTGGACTTCAGCTGAGCATTAAAGGTTTTGGGAAGGCATCTGATAAAAGCGTCCGTTCTTCCCTGAAAGGTCTGACACCACCATAGATGCATTTGATCACACTTTTTTTTTTCCTGCAGAAGCTGTAACGGGGGACAGAGAAGAAGGGCATGTCAAGATCAAAGTTTTTCTTCCTTTTCTGATGCAGCAACTGAGTTGAACAGGGAGGCAACATGAACAGCGGGAGACTCCCAAGCTCAGCAGCATTTAAAAGAAGAAAAAGAAAAGTAGTCCAGGGACACTCTGATCCCAGAAGCTTCTCATCTCCACCAGTCCCAAACTAACAACGAGGGAGGAAAGCTAAGTCCAGCACACTCTGCTCATGTGGATGTGTTCTGTATAGCATGGGGCGGGGGGAGCTTTGAGTGTAGTGCACTAGAGAATATACTGACCAGAAATATATATGCTGACTAACTGACAATCATCAACCCGTGACATGCAAAGGTTATTCAAGGTAAATCACAGTAATGAGGTGGGAGGTATTTTCTTCTGTTTGCTTAGGCACAGCAGGATAAAATAATCTTTGAGGGCCTTTCCAAGCTTGATGGCCAAGCAGCAAGTTCAGATTTAAACACAGGACACTTTTAATTAATGGTTTTTTTCTGAATATAGTAGCGTACTGCAAACTAGGAGCAGAGATCAATCCAGTTCACAGGTACCTGCACTGAAAGCACTTTTTTAATAGAAGGATGGAAATACCTAAGTGGCACTCAAAAAAACCCTAAATTTTGTCTCACTATAAAAAAATCAGTGTGCAAAGAAGTATCCCACACACTTATAAGGCAGGGTTTTACTTATTTCTATTGCACTGCCTGCAGCTGCTGCTCTGCACATTACTGTA